CATACAGTGCCTTGTGAAAGTATTCAGAAATAACCAAAATAAACCCCTATATGAATTTCATGGATCATTTTCAAATGTTTTGCATGATGATTAAACTAGGGATGCACAATGTTATCGGCATGGTATTGGCCAATATTAGTGTTAAAGTTCGATATCGGACATCGGCCATCGGCCATTCCATTAAAATAACTTGCCTATATAAAAGGCGCTGTTTTTGCCTGCAGTGGCAGCACAACGCGATGACGTCACGTACACCTACTCGATCTCACAGTGGAGAGAAAAATTCAAAACGTCGGCGATGTGAAAGTTTAATTTTTCGTTGGTGAGGATGTCGGATTCCGAAGATTTATGGAGTACGTTGAGCCTCGCTACATCGTTCCCAGTCAGAGATATTTTTTCAACGTAACGTTGGAATCCGAAGAGTTGTAATTTGTAACCCGAGTTACACGTCGTCATTTCCGACGTCATTGGGAAGCTAGAAGCAGGAAGCACGACATGTTGGGTGAGATTTACCACAGACATTTGGACATAGTGTTAGCCACGTTAGCATGATTAGTCTTACGGCACAATGGACAGACAAAAACTTGGAACTTAAAAAGACTGTCCTTCATGCACAGGAGTGTAGAGGATCTCACACTGCAGCTAGGAACCCGGAACAACACTTTACATTTATTATAAGTTAAAGTACTATGAATATGGCTGTTACTGAATATACGTCACCAGCTCAAACAGCTGTTGCACAATTTTTGTAGCAAATAAGCCTAAATAAGAGGAATATGTTCTGACAAAGGAACGTATATAAAATATCGGCATCAGTTATGAGCCGAATATGTTTTAACATATCGGCCAAAATTCCAATATCGTGCATCCCTAGATTAAAACATCTTCCAGGACTTAACTAATTTAGTTTGATGCTTTTATTTCTTTACTTTTTTTTTTTTTTACAGCTTTATTGCCAATATAAGCTCACGATCAAAATCATAAATATCACTTGCATATTTGAGATGAACTAAACAGAAATGCAACGGTCTTAAAAGCACATTTTTATGAACGTTTCTGTATTTATTACAATAAAAGGCTGTTATTTTACACAAAAGTTCGTGTGAACGTTTTCTTTCTTAGGCAACTAATAGAAAATGCTCTAAAACTGGAAGTGAAATAACGGTTTCATAATTTATGACAGCTAGCTCAGTTTATCAGTAGTTTCAGCTGCTTCCATCCATTGTTAATACAAGCGCTGCTCTGTGCACACCAGCATGAATTGTTATTAGAAAACTGGGAGTGAGGACAAAGAGATTCACTTGATTAACTAGTTTAATATCACGCCTGCACATTAACATCCATGCTTTTTGACACCTGTCAAAATAAATCCACCAGAACATTTTTGCAAAAGTGACCAATGTCAAAATGACAAAGCGAAATAGTTTTAAATAATTAAAGTTGGATTATTGGCTATTTCATGTCAGATAAGGCGGCTGGTATAAACTTCTAAAGGCAAGTATCATTCTGAACTATCACAACTGGTTAAATCTTTAGAACTGGTACATGCAAAATAAACAAGAAGTTCTTTACACATTTCATATGGTTGGAATTTATACTTTACAACAAAATAATAAATGAGTAGCTCAATTTGACAAAGTATCATATAAGCCTAAACGATGTCATAAAAAATGAGAATATTTTGATAAAATTCTATTTTGAGACACAGAAACATCTTTTTGAAGCCCTGGGGGGTAAACAGGAGAACCATTTGTATTGCTCGACTATTTCTGGTATGTCGACTTACATCTGAACTTTTCAGTCCGACAGAAACGTGAACATTGATCCAGTATTTGTCTAAGCCTTACATTTTTATTTAAATGCCCTTGATTTAACATGCACACAAATAAAAGTGCAAAGCTACAACTGAAGACTGAGCAGAAACCCGATGAACTGTTTTTGAAGTGTCTTATTAAATAATTTATGTGGATGTACACGAACGTCTGCGTTTTTGTGTTCAGGAATTTTTTTGCACTGAGGTTGTTTACAGCACAAGTTATCTTTATGATTTTAAAGGTTTATATCTAACGTAATGCAAGTGTTTTTGTTTTTCTCAGTTTTAAGCCACTCTCTGATTTTGATCCATTTAAAAAGTGAGTTTATTTCATCCGAGTAAAGTCTTAACACGTCTATAAAACCAGTCTGAAAGCTTTCAGGTGAATTGTTTTAATGGGTTGTTATCAACAGGTGGATCCACTTTGACCTAAATGCAAAACAACTAAATACAAGATGTTTCTTTCAGCTACAGAATGAATAAGAAAAAACGGTTAAATCGTTTCAGCTGGACCAATATCTTTATGATTTAACCATTTTGTTATTTACCTGGATGACTGAGCCTACAAACCTTTTTTTTTTTTTTTAACAGCATGTATCTTAAACTTTTTAATCCAATTAGAAACAAATGACTGGCCTGATTCAGGTTGAACCTGATGGAAATCTCACCTGAGCGTGGCCGTACATGCAATGTACTCGCGCAAACGAAACCTGAATTTTCAGATTTGTTTGGCTTCCACACCCCGTCTAAACACAACACACAAACCCACCCAGTTTAAATACAGCACAGATGAGCCAACGACACATCTTAGAACTTGGATTATCTACTCATAAAATAAATATCGCTCCTCTGCAGGCCACCGTGCGACTGCGGGAACATAAAAGAAAACGGCAGTCTGCTCTGTGATGCAACTATACTGCGGCTGATGACGCAACCAGCTTTGCAGGCAGATACAAGCTGAACGACGCAGAAATAGCATCACAAAAACAAAAATTAAAACAGGAGGCTGAAAGAAACATGAACACGAAAAGAAGAGACAGCAGCGTGGAGAGACAGCAGCGTGGATATACAGCGGAAATGCTGCGTGCTCAAACACTCAAGGTCATTCAGGCTGTTCACTAAAATGCAAACCCCCACACCACACCAAGCATCTGTTCATAGACACCGTAGACTTGCTGCACAGCTACACTGACAAATCTGTCTTTAAAGGCTTACTGCTGCCTCACCCACCGTGTGTTTGTGAGGGTGAGCGTTAGGAGTTGGGAACATCAAACCTGCACATAAAAGGCTGAGTTTAAGCTCACAGTTGTGCAAGAAATAAACAAAGCAACACCAGTACTCATCACTGCTTTCTCGACAAGTACCAGTAATAAACCATTTTGGAACCGCTGTTTGCTGAACTACAATAGCTGCTGGCGATACAACAATACAGTGTTGCGTTTCAATAACTGGACTCTGTCTTGCAGTCCAGCTGAACTATTTTTTATTGAACCCTGTGCAAATAAATTACCAAATCTGTGATTTCAAATTGGTAATGTCATCTGCAAATAAAACAACCATAGTGACTGTAGATCTAAGTAAAAAGCGCTGCTGTTTCACGTTTATTTTTAGTGGCACCACTAAAGCTGTATTTTTAGAAACTGTGAATTACCTTCAAGCTCCTATTACACAATACTGCCGTACATGTCTAAACTAAATGTACATGCAATACAATCGTTTCTGCTCGTTTTGGAGCTAGATTTACAAGTTCAATGAAACCTGATCTGCAGTAAAAACTGTGTTAGACAAACTGTTTTAATGGTAAACATGTTGGAGGATGAGATCACCAAACAGTGAACCTAACTCACTGCTGAGGCTAAACCTTTTGATTCTCAGTAGGGTTCTCTCAAACCAGAATTCCTTTCTATCAAGGATGAAGGAGTGGTCACATCTTCATCCCTGAACGAGTGACCGCTGGCCTGCAGATGAGTATAAACCACAGAGTCCTGGCCAGATCGTGTTGCTCTTCTGTGCTGGGCCAGCCTTTTGGCCAGTGGCTGTTTAGTTTCCCCAATGTATAACTGGTCGCAGCCTTCCTAACACTGAACAGCATACACAATATTACTCTGTTTGTGTCGGGAGACTGGATTGGACTGGAGACTGGATCTTTGGGATGGACCAGTCTTTGATATAATTTATGTATTTTGGGGTTTGATAGCCATGGGGACATCATGTTTAGTGCCCCCCCCCCCCGTGACTTTGAAACCCCAAAATACATAATGGCACAGACTGGTTCTGCGGGTCAGCGGTCACTCTTTCAGGGATGAAGATGTTCACATCCTTGATGGAGAGGAACATTGGTTTGAAAGAGGAGTAAAGGAAGCCATCTGTGTAAAGAGAACCTGTCCATCATTGAACAGGGGTGGGGGGGTCACTGTGTTCAACTGTCCCCCTCTTACAATGCTGTTATTGCATCATCCAGTCCTCAGAGTAGCAAGCGGACAAATTGTTAGGCTGATGGTCCTTTTACATGTGAACAGCAAGTCCTGGATGTCACCAGCAAACTGGTTGATCCACTATGAGAAGGTGCTGTTTATAAGACTGAGTTTGTTGCTGCGCTTCAGACTGAAGAAGTCTTCTGGATAAAAGAAGAAACGTTTAAAAAAAAATAACAAAATCGGTCCAGAGGACCTGACTTAACCTTGTTGCATTTGTTTACCTGGATTAATGTGCATGCATCAGGACACTCATTCAAATGTTCAGCTCATATGGGAAATGGCCGCTATGACTTTTGGTTTTTATAACTTTTGGACGTTTCAATATATTAAACTTTTTTTTAAATATACTTTAACCATTGAAATACATTTGCGATCTTTTAAATTAAAAAGTCAGCATTATGGCTCTACTTTATCTTCTTTTGCTATTGTACACTTTTGCTCAGTTTAGCTTCTCTTATGTTACACTGAACTAGCTTTTACAGCTTCTTCAGCAAGTTTTTTCTCTCAGCATTCACACTATTTGGTTGAAACTTTAGGAGCCATCAGATAAAGGAAGTGGAAGTGATTCATCAAAACTATATCAATAAATGCTTTTTTTTGGGGACAACTTCAACTTCAGTAATGTGACAAATAGTCAAACCAAACCTGACAATAAAGAGCTTGAGACACAAAATTAGCTCTAATTAAATATATTTAGTTTTAATGCCTATTTTTTTATCCAGCAATTATGTTTTACGGTTATAACTCCATTTAATTATGTAAAAGAAGCAGTTTAAAAGTGCAATTAAATTTAATAACAAGCAGGCTTTACAAATTTAAGCAGTGCGAGTTTAGTGCAGGAGGAAAATGGAGGTCCTGAATTATTATCGTTATTTTTTTTTTTTACTTCAACATGAAGATTTAACCCTCGCAGCTCATTTTCATTAAAATACAGCTCTTGTTTTAAAGCTAGCGGAACGCAACTAGTGTTTTCAAGCAGTTTCAACGGTTCAATCGTCTCCTGCTGCTAGCATGCTACATGTTAGCTAAGCCCCCGGCGGCAGCCTCAAAAAGCTCCAGGTCTTTAATAAATATTAACCTACCTCCTTCTGTAACAGCAACTCCGCGTTTTTCCACAATAACGAACCGCACTATTTTAAGTTACAGTGCAGTTAGCTTTGCCCATTGTCTGGGGTGAGATGCTGCTGAGCGTCTGGTGGCGTTTGAAGCCTCTTTCCTTTCTGTGTGAAAAAAAAATACTACTCGAGTCCTTTACCGTAAAACCTCGTGCAAACACGACATAACGTTTTCAGCAAATTAAACGTCGCCACTTAAAACAAAAGTATACAAAGACGCAGAGTGGGTTAACACTAACGTTTTGTTTCGAAGCCAGAGGAAAAAGGGAAAGAAAAAAAATAAGTATTTTCTTTACATCGCTAAGTTCCATGAGCCACCAAAGCGATAGAGCAGTACTCCCTCTAGTGGACGTTAACGCTCACTACAAGAAGAATAAAAAATGCCTTTTGCCGAATCTTTACGGTTAGACACCTGATTGGTGGACGTAAACCCAAACCGTGATGACGTTGCAGGACAGTAACCAATCATCTTCGAGGAAGGACTGACTCCGGTGCAAAGATAACGGACCAACAGAGGAGCCTGTAGTTTATTTACATAGCGTCTATTATTAATAATCCTAATGGGATTTATGGACTGAAACAGTATGCAATTATTTATTTGTGTCACGTAAGAAGATGAAGCTGGCCAGTGAGTTGGGAAAACGCTGAAGTAAGTAAAAAATATTGATTGGCGAAATGCTACCATTTGCTAGCTAGCTAGCTGACAGATTAGCTAACAATGAATGAAAAGCAGTAATTTAGGTTTGGTTGAACTAAAATGTGCTTTATTTTGTGAGAAATACGATATTTACCATGTAAACTATGGTTTCTAGTACAAATTTTAATAGTGCTGACTAAAAACGAAACATGTGGAAACTCAGCAGTCATTAGTGTCTGTGTCCATCATGTCTGTCCAGCTTCTGTTTACATCTCTGATGTGGTGTCTCCAGTCAGTGAAATGTCTCTAGCTCAGAGGGTTTTGTTGACCTGGGCCTTTACCCTGGTATTCCTCATCATGCTGGTGCTCAAGCTGGATGGGAAGGTATACTAAGATTATTTGTTATTTTTGTCCTGTTGTCAAAGTATTTATATAATATTTTTCATCTGCAAGGTTTTTGTTCAGCAATGATCAATCCTTTTAACATAATTCCAATTGTTTTTAATAAGCAACATTAAACTAACTCATGATAATCAAAAGGAGTCAAGAATGAAAGCCTTGGATATTAATTTTTAGTCTTTCTCCAATCAGGTGCAGTGGAACTGGTTCCTCATCTTCCTACCAGTCTGGGTCTTTGACGGCATCCTCATCCTCATGCTTGCCATCAAAATGGCTGGCCGCTGCAAGCCTGGGTACGACCCACGCAATGGTTCACCAGACTTGTGTTTGCGTACCTGGTACCTGATGGCCATGCTGCTCAAACTGGGCTTCTGCCTGACGCTATGCGCAAAGCTGGAAAAACTGGCTGACGTCAAGCTGACATTTGTTTGCATACCACTGTGGACCATGCTGCTGGGAGCTCTGGTAGAACTGGGATTGAATATATTTCCTGAAAGGAGAGAGGTTTAACAGCTACTTGAGATTAAATTAATAAAAATTAAGAAAGAAGATGTGTTGGAAATGCTTGTGGTTTGCCTTTATCGTCATACTTTAAGTATAAGAATGGTAGCTGTTCATACCTGAGCTGAGCTTCAGACAAGCTAAAGGTCAACTGAATGTGTAAAAAACAAGTTTTTGAGTCATTTATTACAAAAAAAAAGCACCAAAATTAATCTGAAGAAGCAGCTATATAAAGAAGACTACTGTAAAGCCAATACTGGACAAAAAAATATTGTAATGTGTTGTTTTGAATTCATAATGATCAGTATTGTTTTCAGTATTTATTAAATATAATGGACTATAACTTTTCTTGATGAAGGTACCACAAATAAGCGCCATTTGTTTGTTAAAAATGATTTTTTTGTTTGTTTTTCACCTTCTTACATTCCTGAGCTGTTGAGCATTGTTTTGGCAATTTTTATTTAAACTGTTTAACTTGAAATGACCGTTTTAGATGTAAGGATTAAATAAAGTGAATAATTTATAATTTTTCTTTTTGGTGGACAATCTTTTCTTCCCTGCACATGTCATCAGTGAGTTCAAACACATTTGTTTTCTCCATTATTCTGCACTTTATTGAAAAGTTTTGACCCAAGTGCACATGCTGTAATAAATAATGGCCGATTTAATTTACGCTGTGCACTGAAGAGTTGTCCAAATAAAATTTTTAAAATCTCATTCAAGAATTTCCAAATCTATGCTAAAAAAAAATGTGTTGGGATGAGGGGTGAAATGCCCTGAGGGTTCCCCAAAGAGTCTGAAGCCGAGTTTTTGCCTCCGCCCTTTTAAGAACACTTCAGCTCTGACATGCTGACATGCACATGAACCGGTTTGAGCCAGAATTACACATTTACTAAATAATTCATAACTTTAGCAACCGGAAAAAAATTAAAAGCTGCGCTAAAGAAACGATGAAAATGGCTAAGTCTGATCTTGTACTTGTTCGTCAATTTTGAAAAAATATTTTGCAAAATGAAGTGTTGGTAAAAGTTACAAGCTTGCACTCAATTTATAAACGCTACATTAAAATTCAACAATTTTACTCCACAAATGTAAATCAAAGCGAAGGAATGCACATCACCCGTCTCATCTTGTGACTGTTGTAGACAATTTGGTCACACCTTAAAAATACCATTAAGTATGATCTTGTTTTGCTCAAAGTACACGACTCAGCTACCACCATTTACTTTAATATTTATAAAATTAACAGAGTTGTGGCCATTTTTGTCAACTAATGTTCATTAATTGGATTTAGGCTTTTCTGCTTTAGCTACTATTCAGCTGATTTTTTTTTTTTTTTTTTGTCATTTCTGTTTTTGTCAGACTTAAAGAAGCAGAAATGACCACAAAAAATGGAAATAATCTAAGTGGGCACAACTGTGCTCTCTCCACTTTCAAATGGTAATTTAAGCTTCTTTTTAGCTACTATTCAGCTTTTTACAGATAATTTCTATTTTTTCTGTACTCATTTCTGCTTCTTTCAGTCTAATTGGGCACAATTGTGCTCTCTCCACTTCTGGTAATTTCAGCTTCTTCCTGCTGTTTCAGCTATTTCTTGCTAATTTCAGCTTTTTTAAGCTAATTTACTGTTTGTGCTCATTTCGCCTCATTTAAACCAAACTCTGCAAATATGTGTTCTTTCTGCTTTCTTCTGCCAACTTAGACTTGTTCTTCCATTTCAGCATGTTTTTAGCTATTTTTGTTTTTCAGATTCTTCAGCAATAAGCATTTTTGCAGGAAATGCAATGGACATCTCCAAATGTTTATCAGTTATAGATGCACATCCAATGATTCTTTTCAATAAGTTTTGTTGAAATGTGTCCATTGGGTGATCGTTAAATTAGATAAGGTCATCATTTTACTGTTGCTTTAACCTCCTAAGATCTGAACTCTTGCATATGTGGATGCCAGGTCCTATGAGGTTAATGTTCATCAAGCGCAATCATTTGCTCATTTTGAAAATATAAAGCATTACAATCACATGTCTTAAATACTGACGAGAACAGTTTCTAAATAAATCATATGAGGTCGACGTGGTCTTTCGAAGTCATTACCTTCCAAACACAAAACACTTTGTTCCAGCTTGCCTGCTCTGCTGCCACTCCGATGCTGTGAAGGTCAGCTGAACTCCTCAGGCCCTGCGAGGCGACTCCAAGAAAAGAAAGAAGTGCTTTTGAAGAGAATGTGACGCGACACACACCAGTTCTGAATGATGTAGCCGCAGCATTGTTGGGCGTCTGCTCGAATCGGAGCCGTTCAAAGAGCTCATGTAACTGCTGCCAAGAAGCCAGAAAGAGAACAAGCATCTACGTGTACAGTACCATTTTAACATGTTTTATGAGATCAATCCATTCTTTTAATTACCGTAATTGTATTTTAATGTAACTGTCCACGCTTCAAGAAAAGGAAGTGGAGCAATGCGTACTTTCATACAGCGAACCTTTTATTAGTTAGGCTCATATTTAAAGTAGAAACCACACTACAAGATATTTTCTTTTTACAAAACTTCTTATGTACACTACAGTGCTGACAGTTAATAACAAGTAAAACAGAATAAAATAAAATAAACAACAGATAAGCTCGCGCTCCTGAGGACATCCGTTTTCAACAATAGCTTTGTCACATTTGTAAACATAAAAAATAAAATAAAATGAGTTCCCGTCGTGTCTCATCTAAAACAAAGACGTGTACAAAAAGAGCTGCAGAGCGCCTTACAGCGGGATCAAGTCCCTACTCATCACCTCGATCTCCTCAGAACCACAGGTGAAGAGTTCCGTCTCTGAAACGAAGTCGTTTGAGGCAGAAAAATAGCTAAGGCATTATCTTTTGCTTATTAAAGGTTTTTCATGCTTTTTGTGGGACCAATTAATAAAAACACAACCCTGTTTTCTGGATTTCACTTCTTAAAGTCATCTGTTCTTATCTGCAGGCCTTTGAACAAATTTAGAAACCAATTTAAGACTTTACTCTCATTTTACAAACAAAACACTGCGCTGTGCGTCTCTGGAGCACTGAGTACAACTCCAATCTCCAATAAGCCGGGACGTTGTTTACATTAAACTGATATGTTCCACTGTGAATAAAACATTGGTTTATGAGATTTACAAATAACTGCTTTTATTTACATTTTACGCGACGTCCCAACTTCTTTGGACTTGGGGTTGTAGCTCATAGTTAAGGACAGGCACTGGGGAAATGTTGTGGGCTACATTAGCTCCGATGTTGATCGTAAAATTAAGACACTGATGACAAACAGGTCCTCGGCTGTGAGACATGCACTGACAGAACCTGAACAGATACTTGGAGAATCACACACTTGTCATACTTACAACAAACCTTCCATATTTTTTTTTTAGCCACAAGAGGTCATTTCAGTCCCCGGTTGATAAATAAACATTTTAATATACATAACGCTGAATACTATCTTAAAACAGGACTTGAGGTAAAAACATAAATAGTGCTTTGGACATAAGCTCTCAGTCTGTTTTCAAAGTGTTTTAGACCACAGAGGCCAAAATAATTTCTAAATTATAGTCTTGGAAGAACGTGAAAATGCCCTGCGAGTCATTATTTCTTTCATAAAGTCATTTGTATGTGCTCAGACGTGGACATAGCGATTAAAAAGTGCTGCAACCGGTCACGATTAGGAAGCCTGGACGAAACGTGTCTGCGTATTGCGCTCTGAATTCAGCTGCTTATATCTTGGATGATGTGAAATCTAAAAAGGCAAATGATTTGTGTAGCTACATACTTGAAGTTTAATAATTACAATAGGGAACTGAAAACGGTTCTTTAAAAAAAAAACAAAAAAAACAATTGAAATGAGATTTTGTAACCTGACCTGACTGTTTTCCTGAGACTCCGGCGGCTGGCCTTTAACGGCCTCGCTCAGTTTAAAATATTTTAGCTCCAAAAACAGATTTTAGTTTCACAGACACACACGCACAAAAAAAAACCCCATCACACCTGGAGCTCTGTGACAACAGGTGCAAGACAACCTGCGACTCATTAAAGGGCCTGACTTACCACAGGGGGAGCCTGCTGTAGTGATTTGTAACTCATGTGGGGTCTTTTTTTATTAGTAGCACTGAAAAACAGCGATACAACCATCGTGTTAGTTGAAATGATTAGAAAAGCCTTGTAGGCATCTATTAATTGCACCGTTCGTTAATGTTTCCATCGTCAGCTTAAGGACAGATACAGCATGGGGGTTTTATGTTCAGCAGATTATTGCTCTGAATACAACGTGAGGGAAAAGTCCTGCTATTACCTGTATTGATCAAGGTGTATTGATAACGTACAATAGAGGAAATGTTGCACTATGACATCAACGGATAAGTTTTAAATAATACTAATCAACTGTGGGCACAGAGAACATACCGTTTAAAAATAAAAACAATTAGCTGCAAGTTTAGCAAAAAAAACACGTTTTTTTGTTAAATAAATAACAAATATGCCGTAATATTCTCGTTTTCTTCCTATATTTGGTGACTCACAAAAAAAAAAGAAAGAAAACATTCTGAAATTTTAAAGGATTACACCTAAAGAACTAAAAAAATATATATATTTTTTAAAACAGCGGTTTGGCAGAGCAGGGACTTCATCAAACCGTTAGCCTGAACATTCTTGAGCTAAAACTGGTGCACAGACTACAGGCCAAACAATTTCCTGTAAATAAAATTGAATTTGGTCTCGTTTGTGCACAGTCAAAGCCTCAGTACAATCCAAGCCAGTTCAGTCCAGTGGTCTGGAATATATGAACTCTGCTTTTATACCGTGTCTGCACGGACACACCGAACGTGCCTTGTACACCGTCTTACAACCAAAATAAAACCTTGCTCATTTACAGTTGTTTAAAATTAGCATCGCTATGTACAGACTACTATAAAATCTGCTTCTGCTGCTCTTCATGCCTTGGGGGAAGGGGGAACATAGGAGGGGAGGGTTGAGGGTAGGGAGGAGGTGGTAGAGGGGGAGGAGGTGGTGGGGAAGAAGGAGGAGGCGGAGGATGAGGAAAAGATGGTGACGGGGGAAGCGGAGCCTGCACCGGCGCAGAGGTTTGGTACTGTGGCTGGAGCGGGTAAGAACCGGGTGGCGGCTGCGAGAGGAAAGACTGCGGAGGGAGGAACGGGTGAGAGGTGAAGCCGGGGTGCTGAGGGGGGAAGAAGGATTTGGCAAACTGGTGCTGGTAAGAGAGATGAGAGAGGAGAGGCTGGGAGGGAGAGTTTGGTTGAGAGGAGGGGGGGAGAAGGGGAGGTGGGTAGTAGGTCTGAGCCTGTGTGGTGATGTTGGGTTGGTGCAGGTGGCTCAGGTGGACTGAATGTGGCGGCACACTCTGACCGAGGTAAGAGTTCAGAGTTTGAGGCTCAGGGGGGAAGGAGGGACTGGGGAGGGGATTAGTGGGGAGGACTGGAGACCTGTGGGGGAGGTGGGAATGCGACATGAGGGGAGGGAAGGGAGGAGGAAGCATCTGAGGGAGGTGAGGAGGGGGGAGGTGCTGCGGTGCGTATTGCTGCATGTAGAGTCCTTGTCTGGTGGCGTCCTGCAGAGGGTGCATCTGCAGATCCACACAAGTCCTGGAGTCAGAGCTGGAGCTGTGAGTCCACACGTCTGGTACTGTCCGTGTGTCCGCCGGCGCTCGGCCCCATGCATCCGTCTCCGAGTGTGTCCGTGTGTCCGTTTGGGCGCCGTGTGTTTGTGACGTCTGAACGTCTGACTGCACCGGAGCCCGTGCGTCTGAAAAGACGTCTGGCTTCAGATGGACGGGGTCCTTCGGGTGTTCGGACCGACAAGCGGGAGACAGACGACTAGAGGACGAGACTGCAGGCCTGGGACTCGTCAGAGACAAAGAGGAGGCCGACAGTGAGAGAGATGCGCGTGGAGAAGACACGTGAGCAGCTGGTGAGGAAGAGCGTGACGTGACCGCAGACCCTGCAGAGGTGGAAGACTTTGAACAAGGTGGAGAGCGGGACAATTTGGAAGGCGAAAAGAAAGACGCTGTCCTGCTATCTGACTGATGATTATGATGATGATGGTGGTGATGATGATGGCGATGAGGTTTAGGTGAGACTTTGGGTTTTGCGTCCTTGTGAAGAGGAGGAGGAGGTGACACCAGTTTATTAAGGCAGAGAGAAGTTGGAGGTTCAGCTTTCACTTTTGCAGGAGAATCTTGAGGTTTTCCTTTTTTTGTGTCGTCCTTCGTCTCCTCTTTGTGATCAGAGTTCACAGAGGGGGCAGGTTCACACAACGGTGGCTCAGATTCCTCCTTTTTAACAGTGGGCAACGTCCTGTTTTCTGCCACCTTCTCATCTTCCTCCTTGATCTCATCCTTCACTCTTCTCTCATCCTCTTCTCTCCTTTTCTCTTCATCCTCCTCGTTTTCCAGAACCACTGCTTCCGTCTCCCTTTCCTTCAGCTCAGCCTGCTCTTCCTCTTCCAGCTGCTCCTCTTCTTCTCGGTGGTAACGCTGGAGGCGTACGTGCCACGCCAGGCTGCAGACGGCAGACACCGTCTTGAACTGGTGGACGACGTTTCGGGGGATGAAGTAGATGTCATCGTGGCACAGGCGAATACGAGCGTATCGGATGCCCTCTCGCCGCAACTGGTTCAGTTTAGCATCGTCCACCCACTGCACACACTAAGAAAAACAACAACAAGATGTTCAAGTACAAGACGCGTAACATTTATTTTAACTATCAGCAAAAGAGGACAGCCCTTCATAACACTTTAAGTGTCCTAAATTATTTGAAAATTGAAAAACAATTGGTTAATTCCAACAATAAAACATCAATTAACAAACAAAACCAGCTAAAAAAAAAAGATCTGAGGCCAGATACACTTTAAAATAAAAGCTTTTTATTTAAATGAGATGAACCATATGTGGCGTAGATGTTATTACTTAAACCTTCAAATTTAACAAAGACTCAACACCAAAAATACAAAAAAATACTTACAGTAAAATATCACATATACAGATTATTTTATTGCAAGCCATTTTATTTAGTCCTTCATTGGCCCTGACTAACTTTTAATATTACTAACACTGACCATAGGCATTATTATTTGTTACTATAAATAATACTTGTTATAGAAACTGTCAGTATACATTCTGCATAAATAAAACGTAAAACACTGAAGAAAGAGCAGGCTTTTAAGTAAAAAAAAAGGAATTGTCAAAGTAATCTAAAACAGTTTCTAAATTAGCCGCTTAGTTTATTTTTGAACAATGGTACATTTTCTCCACCAGGTGGCGGTGTTTCACATTGATTTGACACTGGGAGGAGATGACTGAAACCCTGTGGAGGTAATTCTGCATCTAATTGGAGATGGAGTATAGTTATGATCTGTGTGTGTGCGTGCGTGGCGTGAGTAATGTAATACCTGAGACAGAGGGGGTTCGTGCAAGTCCAACTGAAGTCTCTGAACTACATAAGGGAAGTCGGCAGCATGGAAACACACAACATCTTTGGTTACACGAGGCGGCTCCGGGCTGAAAACAAGGCAGGGAGGAGTGAGGAACAACAGAGAGTGATTACATATAGTTCATCATATTTATGTACTGGATGCGCGTCTAAGCAGACAGTTGTGCACCAAACCAAAGGTCTGCCTGTGAGTGAATGTTTCTTACCTTTCCACGGAGCAGACAGCCTTCAGCACCCCCACGGCTGCTGTGGTCTGACGCTCGAAACCCTGCCCGATGTGATCAGCATGAGCTCGAGTCCGGTCCTCGAACAGCACCTCTCTGGGCTCGCTGGCTCTGGGCAGAGATTGTAGCAGGTTCTTCACTTCATTAGTGGAGCTGCGAAACAAACACAAGTGTCCACACAGTTCATGTTTTGTTCCCTGCTGTTAAAATAAAGAAGCGCGTTACTAAAATAGCTACAAGGAGTTTGGGGTGATCTCATTTCATGTTTTTACCAAGGAAACATGACTAGAATATTCATTAGTGTTTCTGCAGGGCTGTAAGTAGCACCGTTATTGATTAGTCTTCATACTTATTGTGATTAATGATAAGAGCAATAAAAAGTCAGAAGGTGTAAAACATGTTCAGAGTTTCTAACGTCATACCATTTCCATGTTTAATCGTCTTGCGTCTGGAAAACGATCTTAAAACACAAATTTTAATAAAATGGTTTTTGATACAATTTTTACTACCTAAAGCAGGGTGGACCCAAAAGCAAGTTAAATTTTATTATTGAATTTCTATTTTACTTGTGCACATTTTGTAGCATTTATTTTATAAACTGTCTGGCTTTTCTAACATTAATGGACGCCTTGTTCCCATTTGCAAAGAGAAGTATTGTCATTAAGTAATCGAAGTTAGGAGGAAACAACGTTTTCTCCACATTGGAGAGTTTAAAACCCATTAGCCTCATTCAGAGACAGAGATGATTATTCAAATTAGCCATTAGAAAGTGTTACTCTAAAATTAGGCACCAATTATTTTAACAGTTGTTACCAAAATCTATAATGATCTATAAATCCAGGTTGACAGATCCACTCACTGACTATTGAGCAACAAAACCTTCATAACATAAAAAACATTTTATAAATAGTCGAGCTGGATAGTTAACATTTTAAACAACTCGGTATTAAAAAGTGCTCGGCTGCAGAGGTTTTATGATTTTGTGATAACTGCTTTTTTCATTTAGTTTTTGTTGATTTCTGAAAAGAATTGCAAAATTCTGGGAGTTTAAAGTTGCAAACTTGCCATGGAAATTAATGAGAATTTATGGGAGTAAACCTGGAATTTGAAATATTAGATGTTGGCTCCTAACAGGGATTTTACTAAAGTTTCGTAAACTATATTTTAGCATAACCTGGACTAAAATAAATCAGATGTCCTTGCTGTGCTAACAATGAGTGATGCCACAGCCTAAAACAAACTGCAGCGAGACCTGAACGTGTCGGGACACGTGGGAATAGTAACAAGTAAAAGGTTCAGTTCAGAATATTAAATAGATTTGTTGTGAAAAGAAATTTACTGAAATAAGTTTTGATTTACGTAGACAAAATGACAGAAAAAAACAAAATAATGATCGATGAACATGTAAATAGTTTACTTCGGAGTTGTGTAAGAATTTAACAAAAAGGTTCACAAAAAATATATAAAAATGCCCCAAATCCACAGCTTTCTAAAGGTTTTGTGGATGTGACACATTATCATACAATCATTATGTTATTTGATAATAAATTAATTTTCATAAACTTTGTGTCAGACCAGTTAATAAAAGGTTTCTATTTTTGTTTGGATATGATAGTTTGTTTTAAATCGATTCCTATAAACTCCCACAATTCCTATAAAAAGTTTCAATTTGTATTTTTCCAAACTTCTCCAGCTTAACGTCCAAAGAAAAGTTTATGAAACGTTTTCTGTTCGTTTGCACTTTAGTCACTTTAATAAAAGGCTCCATATGAAGAACCCACAGGAAGGTTTTATGATGGAAATAAATATAAACTGTCGGCAAATTCAACTAATAAACACGTTTTGAACAGTGGTACTAAATCTGCAAGCTGAAAATGTTACAATAAATGTTGGACACATTTTTCCCCGCTTCATATTTCTTAAAAATAAAGAATTGATAGTTTAAAGGCTGATGAAGAGTAACCTTTTAACTTAAGTATTTTTATTGTTGTGTTGAAAGTTAATTCTTGCAAATTTAGAATGAAAAGTTAGAAATTCATAACAACCTCCTATAAACCTTGTTTTAAAAAAAAAATAAAAAAAATCTCCATTTAAAATATTCCTTTAGAAAACGAACAGCAAAGAAGCGCCGCCTGTTCAAACTCGGCTTCATGTGGTGTACTGGCTGACAAGCTGAGGAGTAACAGCATAAAAACGAGCCGTAGTGCCGAACAAAAGAAGTACCGCAGTCAGCTCGCTGCCGGATCAGTGACTCACACCGGAGCTGCAGTCGGGTTCAAACGGCAGCGTGAACACACACATGCACAGAATCTGGGAGATTTCTTCCAAAGCAGAATCACGGACAGAACCAGTGCACTGAAAGCTGAAATGTGTGCTCACTCATTCAGAGATAAAAGATGGAGATGCATGGGCTGGTGGAGAGGAGGAAAAAAAAAAAAAAGAGAGAGATGGAGGAATATAGTAGAAACACACACGGAGCTCAGAGGTTCTGCAGGTTGACAGTAATAAATGTAAACCCAGGAAAGCTGAGAAGCAGAACGTGCACGCTAAACAAATTAAAAATACCGACACGAAGGCTCACATTCACTATAGAGCTCTAAACTTCCTCTGTGGGTGAAGTCTTGTTGTTCTGCTGGTGTTGGAACAGATTCCTGCGTATTTATTGCCAGATAAAGTCAGTGGGGAGCAGGAGAACGTGAGGAGGAAGCAGTAAGGAGGTGATGAGGGGGAGAGAGATGGAGGGAGGTGGGATGATTCAAGATAAGGCAGTAAAACAGGTAATAGAGCAAAACAGGAAGAAAAGGGGATGTATACATTTTAAAGCCACACCACCACCATTTTCCTAAAAGCCAGAACTATATCTTTATGAGATTTTTTTTTGTATACTGGAAATGTATGTACAAAAATAAATAATGCCTTTGTAATCCGTGTGACGTTTCATCATCCACTTTATAGGATTAACTACAAGTAAACACTCAGCACACCTGCTGGCTGTAAAGATGTGTTTAAGCTAAAGTTCCCATTCATGAAGGAAAAAAAAAAGTGAAACCTATATTAATTTCTATATTTTCTACAGTTATATTACAGTTTTGTTTCTTTCATTCACCAGCAGAATTTTAATGAGCGACATATGGTTTGTATCTGTCAACCATCACGCCTTCGCCCCCCTCAGTCCTGACCGCTGCAGCCGTTACCGTGCAATTATTGCGACTTTCTGGAAGAAAAGCAGCCCCTAAAGCTGAAATAATCTGGTTTATTTTCATTGCACGAGCACTATAATCACATTGAGTTCTCAGGCTGAGAGTCTCACTGCTGTCAAACATGCACAAACTCTTTGACCTTTCAACTGAAACTAGCAACAAACAAACAAAAAAAGCACAAAATGTCGCCCGATAACAAGCTGCCTTCTTTTATTCACAACGAGTCAAAACAGCAGCCAAGCACTCACTGCAAATAACATCACACACATTTTCTTTTTCTGTACGGCTTTCCAACACACGCTTTGTGTTTTTCCCTTGATACTCGATACTGTGGCACTTTTAATACACAAGTATTTTCTTCCTAATGCACTTTCAGAGTTCCAAAAACAACTGCGTTAACAACTGTGCAAATGAATCAAATTAAAGGAGGTAAGAGATGCTGAGAGGATGGAGCTGGAGAAGAAACGAAGAGAAGCAGGAGGATAAAAACAGAAAGGGCGCAGATGTAGGTAGAGCAAAAAAATAAAGAAGAGGGGTCAAAAAATCAACATTAACAGGCTGCAAAAGTCACGGTCTGAAATATTTTAGAGAGGATTTATAGTTTATTAGTTGTAAGACTTGAAAGAAATAAGATTTCAACATCCTTGATAGTAATTTATCACCATATAAACAAACCTGACAAGCCTTAGTGGCCCGAGGCTACATTTGCTTCAAAAACTACTTTAATGAGGTACAAACGACAAGAAATATAACGTTTAGTGTACATTTAACTTCCAAAGAGAATAAACAACAAAATACTTTATTAGCTAATTCAACCACCTAAATGTCAACATCAAAAGATTTAATTCAAAAATTATATGAATTGTCACGATACAGAAGATTTAGAAAATGTGAATTTTTCTCCTTGAGAAATTAAAATCTAATAAAAGGTGACAGTTCTAAACCAGCCCGTATGAGAAAAAAAAAAACAGCTTATGTTTCGTAGTAAACAAAATAGAGAAATAAACGAGGTGAGAATGTGTGTGGTGTGTACTGCCCCATGTTTGTACGGCAGTAACCATGATCTCATCTGAGCAGTGAGCCACGCATCGCTAACGTCACACACAAACTCACACACATCCTCAGTCATCGTCTCCCTCACAACAACAACAACAACAAAACATTCTGCTGTGCGTTTGACACCCTGCTGACGTACAGCAACAATGGCACTACAAGAGGAGGAAGCTCCTCGTCTGGCGCTGATGAACAACAACAAAGCTTCAAGCTGCACACCTCATGGAGGCCAGAGAAAGTTCGTTAAACCAGTCGGCACAGACAGAATTCAGTTATTCATTACTTCCATCTTTCCCAGTCCTTCTACTTCTCTACCACCTTTCTGCTGCACCACCATGTGACACAACAAAGACGACACATGTAAACACCAAAGGGGCTACAAAGTAGAAGAGGAACAGGAAAAAGAAAGCTGGTGTGAAAAATGAGTGGCGACGGAGCCAAGGCAACTTTATGTTTGCTGAAGAAATAAACTGCTTTCTCTGCGTGGAACCAGACGACACTGCACAAGCAGTCAAGTTAGCTGTGTTAGAATCACTCAGCTAGCAGCACAGTGAGGTAACTATTTTCAAACCGCACCACCTGAAGCCTAATTAGGAGTGTTTCACCGACACAGAATTAGGCTCGCATCGTTCACAAGAATCATAACGAATGGAGGTGATCCTTCAGTCTGACTGACTACAAGAAACTATTCCCAACACAGTCTGTGGCTGCCAGGGAATACATCTGCATCTGTGGAACAAGCTGCAATATATTGTATTAGACTGAGACTTTACTTCAGCCAGTCCATATTTTAAAAAGCTCCAAAGTGTAATGAAGCATGAGCAGTAAGTCCTTGGAAACAGAGCTGAGAGTAAAGAGGCTCGTGCAATAAGCTTACACATACCCCGAGACTTGTAGTGCAAACAGAAAACAAACAAAACATTGCATTTATTTCTAGGTTACTCTGAGACTCACCGCTTCCTTTTAAAAGGAGACTTCGGTATATCAGCTACAGGTATCATCTGCTCTCCTGGTCTGACCCACATGATTGGACCATCGTCGCTCTCGGTGGGATTCATGTCTCTGAGACTGGAGAGAGTCCCCCATGGAAGAGTCCGCTGGAGTCAGACAGAATGAGGAAGGTAAGCAGATTAAAACAGAATTATCCTGGCTTTTTTTTTTTTTAACCTGCTCAATAATCCATCAGGTATTTTATTTACGTCTAGTTGCTTCTGTTCTTTACTAAAAAGCACAAGTGTCATCCTGCAAATGCTAAAGAATCAGAAGCCACTGATCCACAGAAAGTGTCAAGAGGATGTTTCTGGTTTTATATTCAACAATGCTGCTTTTCGCTCTGCATGCAGGAAGGAGATTTTGAAGCGTCGACACAAAACAACAAGCAAGAGAACACGCACAACAATCCGGCATTTGAGGGACAGCAACAAACACTAATCTGGAGTTAAACTGCTGCAAAGGAGGAGAGCAAGTAGCTTCATCAAATCAGCCATCACAACACTTTCTTTGCAGGCGCCACTGAGAATACGAAGTGTGTTAATGAGGTATATGTCGAAAAGTCTTTAAGAGTGTAAAATCACAGGAAAATTCATGCACAGTTTAAAAATGAGGTAATACAACTTCACGTGATTTACACATCAAGCACATGACACTACAGGTCAATATCTATTTAACAAAAAACTGATTATAACATGAAAATTATTATTTTGTGCTTATCTGAATAATGTCAATTTCCTTTACACTACCCATTTATCAGCTGAGCTGCTGTTTTGGATTTTTGTCAATCATCCTGCGCAAACTCACCTTGAGGAAGGGGGACTCCTCCAGCAAGCCGAGGAATTCTGGGAAATAATCCCCGACCTCCTCGTCAATGGCTCCAACCAGGCTGACTTGTCTCATTGCCCCGGCTCTGTACGTGCCATGACTGTAAGTTCTCTTGACCTGACGAGGAAGAAAGTGCAAAAATTTAATAAACCAGTTCAGTTCTTGACAAAGAATGCAATGTGTTTTATTATAACCATATTTTTCAGACTACAAGTCCCCTTTTTTTTTTTCTTCCATAATTTGCATGCCCTGCGACTTATGCTCTGAAGCGACGTATTTATGGATTTTTTTTCCATATTTATAAAACAATTTTTGGCTGAGATATGACCTTTTTCATTCATTCTGACCGAAATAATTCTGACCATTTTCAGTCGCTAGATGGCAGTCGAGCAGTATGGCATGCCATTGTATCATGTAGGTAAACGTGGCTATTAATGACACAATCAGCTTGCCTTAATATGTCACAGTCGTCTGCCTGGAGCAAGCATCAAATCAGCTTCATTTCACTGCGCCACCCCGGTGAAATTCAGCTAATTTGACCATTGAAGTGCATTTATTAAGTAAAAGTTCAACTGAGACACATATTTACTATAAAGTCCAACTAACAAGTAATTTTTTAGGTGGTTATCTTGTTAAATTTTGAAGAAATGCAGAGTCACCCTCTGCGCATTCATGTTTCCGTGTATCGGCTTTTGAAAATGCAGCTGATTTGATCGTCAAAGTGCATTTATTAAGCAAACGTTAGACTGAGACACACCTTCACTATAATTTCGAGCAAACTAATAATTGTTTTTAAGTGTCAATCTAGTTAAATTCTTGTTAAAGTCCTCTCGTGCACGCTCTCGAGACTCGATTTTTGGCACAACACCGGCCCACATTTCCGGGTTGTCAGCGGTGACGCATAATAGATGCGACGTTTACGACGAAGCGACGTATTTATGGATTTTCCCACTTTATTAGGCATATTTGGACTGATGCGACTTATAGGGCGGTGCGACGTTTACAGTAGAAAATACGATCGGTGAAGCAGAAGAAAGCAGAAAGTGCAAACGAATTCAAAACAGAAGCAAAACCTGCACAAACAATCCTCAAGGGTTTTCAGAGAGCTTGCACAGGTTTAAGATAGTCCCCGATGAGAAGCGAACAAACGCAGAGGCATTAAAGTCATTACACAACATTTTAAATGACTTTCCTACAGCAAACTGGAAACCAGCAGGACTTCAAAAGGGGTCCAAACGAAAATAATTTTGTGTCAAATACTGATACAGTGACAAAAAGGCAATGCTGTCGTCCTTGAGGGGAAAAACAAATGACACAAAATGACAATGAACATTTTAATTTGTCTATTTAACGGCAAGTACAAAACTAAGCTGCTAGCTGAGTGTTAAAAAACACAAATGTGAATGGTTTATTCCAGTGAGACTGAGGGGAGAAACTCAAAACTAGAAAATCTAAACTGGGAGAAAACAAATGCACATGGAAGCTGTAAATCATTACAGGGCGTCTAAAATCGACACTGCGAGTGTTGGCGTATTATTCACTTGATGTTTCTGCTTCACTCATGTGACTCAGACTGTTTGCTGCTTTTCACTTGGCTGACAGAGCATTGTGCATGTGTGACAGTGCGTCTACTCGTCTCCCACACTCTTGGCCCTCAACGGCGCCTCTGTGCGTGCATGTGTATGCAGTACGTGCAGCATGTGGCCTGCACGCTCTACTCTTGGCTGATCGGGGTGTGTGTGTACGCGTCCGTCTCTCTGGGCATCTGTGTGTGTTTAAGTTAGCCAAATCCTTGGCTGAACGCTCCTGGTGAGTCACCGCTCGACAACGAGGCAGAGATGAAGGCAGAGAGACGGAGCAGAGGGAGAAGAGTCGGGATACACGGGAGAGAAAGAACGAGGGAAAGCTAGATGGATGGAAGTGGAAAAGAAAAATTGAGGCGACTTCAAGGGACAAAATGTGAAGGAAATAAAATGCAGCCAGTGGAGACGGGATAAAACAAGAGGGCGTTTGTAAGGCAAGATGGAAACGTGTTAATGGAAATATGGAAGATGACGATGTTTAATTCGGAGGTTAAACGAGAACAGGGATGAGCAATAAAAGGTAATCATGAAGATAAAGGAGGCAGAGGGAGAAATTATGATTGGATGGAAAGAAAGAAACAATATTAAAGGAAAATGGAAAAAGAAAGATAAGGGAAAGAAATAATGATAGAAACCATAAACTAGAACAAAGTGATGGATTTCCAAACTGATCAATTACCGTAATTACTGGACTATAAGCCGCTATTCTTTTCACACACTTTGAACCCCGCGGTTTATATAATGCTGCAGCTAATTTATGAATTTTATTTTTTTGACGGGCTAACGAACTTCCTGCTACCAAAACATTTAGCTTCGTCACACTCGGGCGCTCACATATCTGCCCAATACACGTCTCTCTTGAGGGGTGGGTCCTATGTTTCAATGAGACTACCTGTATAAATAAAGGTAAATAATAAAAGTTGATCAATGAAATGACCAAATAGGTCACAGTGGACTAATGAAACTTCGAATTGCCGTAAATGAAACGCACTCACTAAATTCTTCAGCTCAGTTATTTTGTACTTGATGAACGCACCCTCTTCAGATGATGATGCAGCTTTCAAGTTAAAGGGCGATCAATCTGGCTCTCCAAGAAGGAAATAGAACTGCTGCACATAAGCTAGGCGTTTCCTGGTAGGCTACTTATTTTTAACCAGCCTCGTTACAGGCACTGTTCAGAAAAAACTTTTACTGTATGTATTTGTGTATGTTACCAGTACATAATTAATTAAAAGTTTTAAAAAATTTGCATACATATCTCCTGTTACAATGTAGACACCTGCGGCTTATAGACAAGCGCGGCCTATATATGTACAAAATTAAATTATTTATTTATTTAGTGGGTGCGCTCAATAATCCAGAAATTACGGTGCTTGGAGTCGCAGAGCCCGTGTATTAAACTTACAGCAAACTAAATAGATCTGACTCAGTCCGTTTATCAGGCAAAGGCTGGTCGAGCCACATGGCTATTTGTTGTCGTTTTCTCATTTCAGTTCATGGCATCTGTGCCCTAACACTGATGACGACGTGCACTAAGAGCTGAGGACATTCACTGAACACATTAGGACATCTTGAAATTGAGCACACGGTTGGATTCATCATCACGTTTACAAGTTAACTGTTGACTTCCAGTGTGTCACAGCCACTGAGCGCGTGCGTATTTGTGAGTATACATCCATCTGGGTGTGTGATTTTAATTAGCCGGGCTGACAAGCGTACATTTCTCTGTGTGTTTACATGTGCATAATTTAACAGCTGAATAACCCCTGTGTTTGCAAAGAGGGGCATTATGAAACACTACCCGGACTACAAAAAAAATACAAACACGTTTTACAATCAGTGGTTCACACGGATCTTAAGTAAAGGAAAACAGAAGGGAACGGTAGATGCGACAGACTTCCACGTCTACGTTTGCTCATGAAATGTTTGCTCAGATAAGCTCTCTCTCGTTAATATTCTGTAACAACCCCCCCACGCCCAAATCAACTTATCCCTGCAGAGTTTATGTCGCACCATCATTTCACTAATCTACCCGACCTTTCAACAACCTCTGTGTGTCATCCTCTTTCCAGGCTCTCTGTCCAGCCAGACTCTAGATTACTGTCCATTAGTCCACTATTGTGCCTGCGTCACAACAAAGCTTCTGCCTCACACACAACTGGACCCACCTTTGTTTCATACTCTGTGTGCTACAAAGAGAGTTCATGTTAAAATAACCTAGAAATCCTTGACGCAAAGTTATGAAACCTTTGTCACCTATAAAGCAAGTGGAAAAGAGAGAAGCCTTAATGTTGAATAAGAACGTGGACTTTCAGTGGTTTCAATCTTTTTTTGACTGTAAATGCTTAAAATAAAACTGCACCTTATAGTTTTCTTCCCACGTTGAGAGTTGATTTTATTTAGTCTGTGTAATGTCATTTTACACACCAAGAACAGTCTTTACACATGCTTTAGAGACAAAACTCAACTGTTTTGGGTTAAGTTTGTGGCGCAGCGTTAAAAATAAAAAAAAGGACATTATCGTGTGTTCTCTTTCAACGGAACACTGGAGTTTCCAAAGAAACTGGATTCATCTCTGTTGAACCACACAACACAAAGCATAAAATATGACTATCATAAACAAAAAGTGTCACATGAAAGCTCGTGTTCGCTTCTGACTCCAGCAGTTTCTCGCAGGGCTGGAAGGTTATCTGTACAACACCATGCTGCAGGACGTTAGCGCTGCTTTCTACAAAAGGCTCTGCAGATCCAAAACAGAAGCAAAAATCTTGTCTAACAAGGTTAAGTCATTTCCTCTGGATGGATTCTTCTGCAAGGTTTCCTAGAAAAACACGTCCAGAGGACCTGTAGATTTATCTACCTCGATTTACTGAGCATGCATCAGGACAAAAATCACAGGGTTGACTGTGCGTTTTAAAATAAATTGGATTTTACTCAGGACATGACTTGTCAAACATAAAACCTACCATCTGGACACATTAATGAAAAGTTGAGTTTTTAAATGTGCATAGATGGCACCATAAGCTGTTAAAAATTTTATCCTGATTTGCTGATCAGAAAAAGCATATTATATATATATATATATATATATATGTGTCTAAGATCGG